GCAAAAGATCAATCAGGATAAACAGTTTGTGTGTGTTTAGAACGACTACGAGTCCTAGGAGTAGATCCCGTCGGCGCTTTTTTTTCCTGAACCAGTTGGAATGAGAATCCCGTACATTGTGGCTAGTTTCATACTACTATTCCAGCAGGGGTCCGTTGTCAGAAACAGAATTAGTCTTAAAACACGAATCTTACGTATCAAAAGACTTTATCATAGATCTTTTACAGAAACGTGGTAAGGTTACGAGTTTCTCACACGCAGTGTATAGAAGTGCGGTCTACGAGAAATTAACGTTAGGCTTAAAGTTAAGACTAATTTCGTGTCTGACAACGGGCCCCAAGTTATATCACGGCCCTAAGTATTGTCCCCCAAGCAAGTAAGCCCCTAGTATTGTCGTAGTATATAGTATTGTAGTAAAGTAGACCCTAAGTATTGCTCATATGGTATATGTCCCCCAGGGTACTGCCGGAACGTACCCTGGGTACTGGGGGACATAGACCCTCTCAGCCTAAGTATTGTCGTTTGGGTAACTGGTACGCGCGCTGGTACAGCTCCCTGGTACGCGCGCAGCAAGGCCAGCCATTTCAATGCTACATGTATCAACAATTTGCTCAAGTCGTCACGTCGCGTACATGACAAACGTTGTTTGACACAGCGAAGGTGAGCGAGTGAGATTGCAGGACGTGCGTGTGCTCGACGCAGTAAAAACTCACCACACATGATATGATATAATAGAATTACTCATCTAATAACGTAATGTGAGCCAGTTTTTCACCGCCATCCAGTTTGCATACAAGGATTTATTTCTGGTGCAAAACAATATATACACTGTAATACATAAAATACTAGTATTCGGCCCCCACGAATACTAATAATATCGCAACGCGTAAATGACATCAGTCTATGAATCAATAAACAGACGGAGCCTGATTGCAATGTTTGATTCGTGAATTATCCTATACAATGTGTTTCATTACCTCAACCGAAGACCTAAATATTTAATATTTCACGATACGATATTTTACGATATATTGTGTGGCGCCAACGAACACAACCTACGAATTGTGGCATAATTTATACGAACCATTGCCAAGTGTACTTTCATGAGCCGAAATATATATATATTGCTTACTCGCTTACCTAGATAAATAATCAAGTATCTTCCACCCCTGACAAGGACATATAATTGCTGCTCTCTTTCGCGCCGCTCTTTCTCTCTCTCTCTCTCTCTGGTCCTCTACGTCTGCTCTCTCTCTCGTCCTCCGTTCATCTTTCCCTCTCTCTCTCCTATATATATCATAGTATATAATATATATATATATATATATTATCATTAGAGGCCACTCTAATCTACTCCTGAATATATATATAGGTGGAAATATTGCATTCGTGCATAAAATATCACAATCTATCAATTTCATGATCCCAGCAAGAAATGCGAATGTACACGCGCCGCTGAAACGCACGAAAACTCACGGTAACCGCTCATGCATCTCCTCCTCCTCACATCTAGCGGCTCGCTATCACCACCACCACCAAGCTCAACCTGGTCTACGTCAATCGGCTTACAGGGAGAGCACCGGCATTACATAATATCCTCACGCGGACAAAGGCACGGGTTTGGAGCAGCAAGATACAGTCACACACATGCGCACACTCGCGGTTCTCTATATTTTTCACGACATTATGATAAGTCAGTCTTGGCAATAAGACCTAAAAAAAACGTTTCTTTCCGCCAACGAGCTGAAAAAAATTGGACACGGTAGGCAGGCAAAACCTTTTTTATCAAATATTTTTTATTAATTTTTTGTATTCTAACAATACTTGTTTTATACTTATAGCAGCCCATATAATGACTTCAAAGTCAAATCAATGCATTCACCGATCGATAATACGTTGGGAATTAATTTATTTAAAAAACCATTTTTTAAACAATTTTTTTTTGCCGATCACAATAAAAAGTTTGGACACGGCGGTTTAAAATGGACTCGGTCGGGTTAGCGGAAACAAACGTCTTTTTTAGGCCCAAGTCTCTAACCCAGCTAGGCTAGATTAAAAAAAAACTTATTAACGAGTAGTAAACTCCATTAAAATTAGCCAGTCCTTGTCAAAAGTTACCAGTCTAGCACTAGCGGACGGGCTGCTATATTCAACATCTGACAAGCCGCTCAGGAGTTAACACCACCTCTCTAGCCCACGAGAGCAAATCAAGGGCGAGAAATCGGAAGTTGGTCCCGCTTCCCAATTAGCGGCCATATAACGGTCTCATATGATACTGAACCGAATGAACGAAACAAACTAACACGACTAGACTAAAGTAACAGAAACGCTGCGCTCTCTCTCCTCTTTTAAGGTTAATAAGAGGAATTGGCCCGCCGCGCATTATGTATACCTGAGTAGTCTGTGGCCGTTCTCTTCAGCCACATCGACGAGCACGGCGCTGAATTCACCATGGTTCTTCATTTCTACTTTGCCCACACGACTATGCGTGAACGCGTGCATTCACGTGCTCACAGCGACTGACTACTTTGCTGCGAGTAACGGCCGATACAAGGGTACGTCGTCCACCTGCACTTTACCGTCAACTAATGCTGATAGATCTTAGACTTCGATTGATCGTGCTCAGAGAAACATGCTCTGCACACACAGACTGGAAATGCGTGTCGCAGTATACGGTGACTCTCTCTCTATATATATATCAAGAGCTAATAATAAAAAAGGTATTATTAGCTCTTGTATATATATATCATCACATCTCACGTCACGACTTCCGATATGACACAAGCACGCACACGCACTCAAGAACGTACTGACGTACTTAGGCAGGTGGTGGATGTGTCTACAGGGTAGGTGAGGGATGTGTCTACCTGGTGGGGAATGTGTCTACAGGGTAGGTGGGGGATGTGTCTACAGGGTAGGTGGGGGATGTGTCTACCTGGTGGGGAATGTGTCTACAGGGTAGGTGGGAGATGTGTCTACAGGGTAGGTGGGAGATGTGTCTACAGGGTAGGTGGGAGATGTGTCTACAGGGTAGATGGGGGATGTGTCTACAGTGTAGGTGGAGGAGGTGATGTCTCTGTATGTGGGTGGGGGATGTGACCTCGACTCACGCCGTATTATCCTGTACTGCGAGAGGATATCCTAATTAAATTTAAACTAATAAAACGTCAGCAGGTACTGTTAAAGGATATCCTCCATCACAATCCGTGTCATGAGGGGGAATATAGACCACCTCACATTAAAATCATGATGAAACATCAACCAGTTCTACACGCTGATATCTCTCACCAAATTAATTATATCACACCAATACCAGTCCTACGGAAAACAATCATTGGTCCTTGCCAAAACAAGCCTATGAAACGGGAGAACACTAAGGATATCTAATGCTTGTTAGTAGTTTAGTACACTACAAAACGAAATGGTTAGTCATGAATAAAAGTGCTATATATAGGACAATATGCTACTATCTCTATATATGTTCTCGAGATGTTTGTGAGAGTACTAGACGACTACTGCTGGCCGACATAGCATTATCACTGAATCAACGTGCCCTATCATGACACGTTATCACGCATCAATACGTTTGCTCACGATCCACTAGTAAATAAGCCAGAAGTACCTACTTACTTTTATTACTTATACTTACTTGCTTATATTTACTAGTGGAGCATGAGCAAACGTATATATATTAAAGCTATTAATAATTATTATAATAAAGCTATTATAAGAGCAAAATATAATATATTACTTTTGCTCTTATAATATATATTACTGCGCATGCATTCGTGGTATGCCTATCTGCATATATGGAGAGAGGCCACAGAAAATGGTGACATTTTTTGCAAAACACATAAGTCTGATGATATTAAGTCACGATGAACCGAAAGAGAGCAGCCCCAATATTTTATGAAAGCACATCTATGAGGGATGGAATAAAAGCATGATGTTTAAAAAGTTTTGAGTCATGCAACTATTGGCACTGGCTTGCCCCTACAGCAAGGTTTTGATTCCTAATAACAACTGCACGTTATTATTTCGCACAGCAATTTCATTGAATAAAAATGCTCCTTACTTTCACTGTTCTAGTTTTGTGAGACTTGATGCTTAAATGAGATAGCACCAGTTAACCAACAGATCATATAAGTGACATCAATGTGTCAATATTTTGTAGCAAGGAACATATATCTAAAACACTATTGCAACTTGGGTTTTATGAGCTTTATTATGTACCATATGCACGCAATGTAGACTTTAATCTGTCGATGCCATCAAACAATCGCTTAATATTCATGTACAAGTGCACTTTTGCAGGGTGCAAAATTAACACGAGTCTGGAGTCAAATACTCCCTGATTTGACATATGTAGAAGTCCGTGTGACTCCCTAAAAATTCTGCTATACTAACTAGTTCGTTCCAGAGCACGGCCTCGCGGAATTGCCGTATTTTTTCAGCAAACGTCCAAAGACAATTTGGCAGACATGCAACCGCATGAATCTTCAAAATAAGCACACACGTTATTGATAATATCTTAATGATGTTTTGAACTTCAGACTGCAGACTCCCTCTTTTTGAGGGCAGGGAGTCCGTTGGACTCCCTTGTTCAAAGGTTAATTTCTACCCCTGCTTTTGCTTAGACACACTGACCATTGGGCCACCAAGTGTCTTTGTTGCTGTAAACATTTCACAAGCACATCCTGCTAATGATGTCATACAGACACAGCACCCGTTGAAGGAAGTACAGTTGGGAGTCTCTGCTACTTGGCACACATATTTTGTCAGCTAATCAGTTTTACAGCCAAACATCAAACATTTAGTTGTAGCCTGTAGCGCAAAACCTAATATGCAAACTTGGTCCATTATCATAGTGAGATTTACTTAGTGGGTTAAATTAAACGAACATTTGAAATTCAAGAAAATTTCAACGTTGCCTCAATCAGTCAGAAGGAGACGCTATACTAACAGCCGTAAACAAATCCTACTTTGCTCGTTGCTCTTACCTGAATACTTTTTCGACACGCATCGGCATCTTATTTTTCGCGAAGCCATTTCGTGTCCTCCCCATCATTCCGAGCGGGGCTATCGCGTGCGAGCCGGACGTCTCGCCATCATCGACGTCCTGCCAGTGCTCCTCCCCATGGTCCTCCTCATGAACACAGGAGTCTCCATCGTCTGTGTCGAGAGCCTGGCGATATCAAGCACAGCATATAATCCCTGTGACAGTTACAAATAAAACCAAACGGGATCGTAAATACAATCATGGTGCCCAACTCCAAAGCTAGTGCGAACCTCAATTCCTAATCCCAACATTGACTGTAATTCCTAACCCTATCCCCAATCCAACCCTTATCTATGAATGCTGACACACCCCAGGCAGTATGAAGGTGAGGGTTAGTCAATTAAATGCACATTCACACAACCAGTTACATACATCTTACTGTAGAATATGAGATGCAGAATGCAGGAATTCTAGCAGGGAAGGGTGCGGTCATGTGGAAAGGAGGTGAAGTAGAGAAGAGAGAGAGATTACTCATACATTCGTTTTTTTGGAAGAAATACGGTTTCAATCCGATGGATTTTGATTACACATTTTCTATTTTGATGCATTTTATTCTATTTTTACTGAGAGCGACTATTTGGTGAATACTGGAAAAGTCGGGTCTGCACGCACCAAATAAGTCAAAGGACCGTACAATCCGTGCATTGATCAATTTGATGAAAACATACACTAAAAGTCAGTGTCACTATCAATCATATGAAATAATTCCAAATATAAAAAATTCGTTGGAACTGACAGTGACAATACAAGTCAGTGCTCGAAATAAGCGTTGTCCGGTTGTCCGAGACAACCAGAATTTGCGCCGGACAACCTAACCAGTCTGAGACATTGTCCGGTGAACAACCAAGAAAAACGTGACGAAAAACGCACTTTATTTATATTTTTCTGACTGCGAATTGAATTTCTTTCGGCTGTCGATCGGCCTGCATTGCGTCCATAGCTAGTGTTGTTTCGCGGCTTCTCATTGGTCAGCAATGCCGTGTAATATGGGTGCTTTGGCCAATAAGTATGCGTATCACAACTCACGTTCGTAGCGACAACAAATTTGACTGTGTGGACAAGTTTCATCGACGAGTAAACAGGTAACTACTTATCGATCACTACAAACGTTTTTTCTGAAGAGACAAATGACTTGTTGCTGGTAGATTTGTTGTGGCAGTGATGTAATCGAATCTGCCTGAGAGGTAAACATGACTAACTAGACCGAGTGTGTCAGCGATAATAGAGGAATTCTATAGCTAGCCTAACCCGACCAGGCTGTGTGACTAACGTCAATATACAGTATTCTAACCCTAGCAATACCGTTTCTTGGAGCTATAGCTAGCCATGTCAAACCATTTTAAACTTATTAAAAAAAACAACAACCATGCAGTGAGTCAGTAAGTATAGCTGTTCCAGTTGTTAAGAATGATATCAATCTTGAAACAGACTTCTTAGAGTTGAGAAGAAAATTATATGTTTTTATACAAAACGGATTCTATTAAAATGACAATGATTAAAGGAGCTTAGGTTTGGATTCTAGACAAAGTTCTGTGTTCCATTGGCATTGATTCAATGAGACCTGGAATACATTTTGCACGATATATTCAGTTGCAGCTTGAATTTTTATTTAATGGGTATATAGTGATAATTGTAGCCAATGTCATTTAGTATCCAGTCACAGGAGTCACACTGCAATAATATTATTATACATCTGAATGATCTGATCATAAGTGGACCAATTGATATATAATAATATTATTGCAGTACGACTCATTAAGTATGAGTGAATACCCTGAAACCCGATATCTTGCATTTTTATAAACCAAAATTTTTTGCTAATGTCAAGACTCATGCAAAAGAAGATTAACTAGTCACGATGACCGTCCTGATTCATGCAAAGTATTAAGTTTACAGGTTGAAATAAAATAAATTTAAAGATATCGCTCCTACAGTATAACTGTATGTTTTTGGGCAGAGCGTAGTTGGGGGGAGGGGGGAAGTGGGGATCCATGTTGATCCGAAAGTAAAAAAAAGAAGAGAATTGTCGTAGTCAGAATGAAGGCTGTACATGTACTCAAAAGTGCCGCAAATACCATCTCCTGTGATCTACATTTTCAAAATTTTCTGGGGGAGGACCCCCATACCCCCCACCTGTTTTTCACCCCTCCTCCTTGAAATCCTAGATCCGCCACTGAACAATTACATATCTTGAGAGCAGAGAACAATGAACCACAAGTGCCGCGGAGCGACAGCGCTCATCTCACGTCTACTGCGGTGACTCTGTGGTGGAGTGGTGGGATTCTAGTAAACCCTGTTGGTCCCAAATGTGTTCACATACACACCGAAACAGTGGAAGGCACAGGGATGGTATCAGGAACCTTCTCAAAGGAATGTTCGTTGGGATCGTTATGAAAGTTGCCACGAGATGGCGCGTACGTTTAAGTGTCTTCAGATTAAAGATGGAAGCTCCCATCGTACGTAGTAGCAACAACTATTTGCAAGACAGAATAGGTAAGCAATCATCCATTTACCTACGCAAGCCTACAGGCTGAAATAGAGAGCTGCCACCTATAACTAATTAACACAGGCAAAAACTACACAGTACTATCACCACCACATGCACTGGCAGTGGCATAAGTTACATGTAACACACTGACAGTACAGAATGCCATAGAAATTATACGATTTAAGGAGCATAAACCTTCTTCAACCAAATTTAGCTTTTGAAATTTCACTGTGACATTGTAGCCTCATAGGCATGTATAGATTCTACTAGCAAACCCGGCAGTCAAAT